AAACCTGAATAGGTCTAGAAAACAAATATTAGTAAAAAAAATTCAAAGGAAAAAACTTACATAAATAAGCCATCGTTCATAACGATCACGTAAATTATGTAAAACTGAAGCATCATTTAAATAAGTTAAATTAGCCATATCATCGCAACAAGTAAATTTCGGTGGATTCATTTGTTGAACATCATCTTTTTTTAATGTTAAACTCTAAATAATATTAAATAAAACATAAAAGTAGGTTTGTTTTAACTAATTTTTTAATAGCATGTATATGTATACCTCTCCTTTCGATGTTTTAACTGTTACTTCTTCACCTTTTGTACCAGTAATTTCAGCTTCAACAAAGGATTCTTTTGCATTTGGCACCCAACATTGCTTTTTACCATCGAATGCTTGAGCTTGAAGTTTAATACGTTCTTCAGTTGGAAGAGACAAATATTTCATCGACTCTTTTAATTCAGGATCATTCGGATCGTAAATAATACTGAAAAATGAAAGAAATTTATTATACTATCTTGTTTTATTATAATATATCTTACCCGTCGATCGACATGATTATTTATTTAGTGTTTGAGAAAAAGAATACGTTCAATACAATACAATCTATATAAAAAAAAATTTTTTTCTGCACTCAATAAACTATATACTATCTATACTTACTATATCAAAAGATATATAATTCTGCTCGTGTTAACCGCTTGTTTTGTTGAATAACAAGTGGTTATATAGTTTCTATATTACTATTCGAGAAGAGAGAAGTAGAATTATCTTCTCTCTCTCTCTTTCTCTTATTAACTATTGATTGGCTAAACTAAAATAGATAGATATCCAAAAGTAGCCGAAATTTCAACACTTATTATCTAGACGTAATGATGATGAGTTGAAAAGAAATAGATATAGAACCTCCTCCATCTTATATTTATGGAAGCATAATCAACAAGCTACCTAAATACAGATTTTTACTCAATATATCTTTATTTTAACCTTGAGATACGAAATAAATACTTAATATAATCAAAATAATGTGGTTTATCTTCTTGTCAACATATAAAAGTAGAAGAGAGACAAAATCTTACTAGTCTGTGATGTGGGTGTATCTAAATTAATTTTTCTATAATCATTCATAACAAATTCCACAGTTCTTGTTATTCGAATAACTTTATCTCTAACTATAGCAATTGTATATATCATACGTTTATTTAAATGTGCAAACTTTCTAAAAACTATACAACAAATTATAATTTTAAAAGATTTATTAATGTGAGGCGACACAAAGCATGAGATTATGTCATCAACGAAAAATCAGAAATTAATAGCTGAAAAGCGAGATCAACATATCAAGATCGAACTAATAGAAATAACGGAAAGCTATGAAACTTTTACAATAATCTATTTTTGTGCTAAATTTTAAGTGGAAGTTTTAAAAATTAATTTTCCTAATATTCTTAAATGAGACATCATGATTTTCTGTTAAAAAATACCATAAAAGTACATTACCTCGGTATCAATAAGCTATTAGTCCAAACTCTTTTCAAGGAATCTATCTTTCATTATGTCAACTTGCAGAAATGTATATACTAGGAGAAGCGACATCTCTTCACTACTTCATGAATTCAAATTAATAGTTCTAGTGTATTTAGAATAATGAACATACTGTATTAAATACTCAAATTATCGAATTGCAAGAAAAATTAAATGAATTCGATGAACAGTAATGCTAAAATTCTAACAGTACTTTTTTCAGTATTGATTTAGCTGTGTAGCACAAAATGAATAAATAGTTCGTCTTCAATTAGAAAATAATATTTCACAAAAAAAAATTAATAATGAAAAGAGAAAAGTTTCCGTTTTTGAAGTATGATATCGATATTGTGATTCTCTTTTTTCTTTATCAGGGTCTTGGAGGTCAAATGCAAGAAATAATCGATGAAAGAACTAATTTAAATAATGATTATCAACAAAATCTAAAAGAACAAAATGGTTTACTAGTTCTCTGTTCTACATATGAAAATTAATTAAAAACATGTTGCCATCTAACTCAATCAGATGGACTAACAGTAAATCGATTCAATGGAATCATTTTTTTTCTTCAAATTCATTATCTTTCCTCTTTCGTTTTGGTACCAAACTTTTTAATTAACACGGACAATACACAATAATATAGAAGTCAATTATTTTTTTTTCTTCTTTATTTCAATATAAACGAAGCGTTAGAACAAGATTATATGATAGAAAAACACAGTGCTTGTGTTACTGGTTGAGGTAACGCATAACACCCTACGGTAACTATATACATATTTGGAATGTCGCAAATCATGGTCCCATGGCTTTAATTTCTATTTGTTAAATATATTTGAAAGTAATGAATTGAATTGAGATGTAATTATTTCATTGTATTTCGTTTTGATTTTATTGCAGTGAAGAAAAATCAATCCTATATTTCATTTTGGAGATATTGAGAAGATGCCACAGATTAGGTCTGTCATAGAAACTTCGCATATTGTCCTTGGTTGCAGAAAATATTAAAAAGTCGAGAAGATGAGAATCAGAGAAATGTCAGAACATCATTTATATTTCCGCCACATTATTCAGTGTGGTAATGAAATAAAATATAGAGGAAGTTATAAGACATTTCTTTTTCTTTATAGTCTCGTTATCAGCTCAGTAAGATAGGAATAGGATTTGAAGAATAAATTCACATTGAGACACGCAACAGTGTTTTTTCCAGAATACAATCTTTCACGTAAAATGTTTTACTTGGTACGATCAATAGAGAGAAGAGAGTGACTTTAATGTTCTTTCAAGATATTTTGTGGGTGTGAGTGTGGGTGTGGGGGTGTGCGTGTTCATTTCTATATCACTTATACCTACACCCACACACACTCACACCGTCAAGATGGTTTGTGGTTACTCGCTGCCGAGAGGTCAGTAGGAGTTTATTTGATTCAAAAAATAATGTCAGAATCAAATTCCAAAATAACTCCTAATTGCCAGAAATTATGTGTTTATTGAATTATACCTAAACAGAACCGAATTATAAGGTATTGACTTAAATTCAATTTTCACTTCGTCGAAAATCAAACCAAAGCACCACTTTTGCCATTTGGTGAAAGCCATTTGCGAAAGTCAATACTGCATAATCTTCATTCTCGGTGTCGATTATTTTTTATAACGGAATAAGGATAACTGGGCACTAAATGAAGTAATTTTCTGAAATCAATTATAATCATCGTTTGTTCCTTCTTAGAAATATTTGATAGAACCTATCCATACATAAGGGTAAATAATTTTTTCAGAAGTACGTTCAATAGCTGCCATGTTTTCTTAATGCAGGAATGCAAAGAAAAATATAAATTTCTTATAAATGAAAACAATCTTTCATAGTGTTTCTTTATAAAAATACTTTGTCTCATCTCATACTTTGTTTCAATAAATACATATATTCCTCTACAACTATCTCAATAAATGATATCTAATGAATAATACAAAAGAACATGAGTCACAGTTTTACTTGATTCGAAAGATTCTCTATTCCGAAAAATACCTCATTAGATTTTTTCAGTTTTATTTTTTATCAGTCTATTATATACGAATTCATAGCATTCAGCATCTTAGCCCTTTACGGCCGGCTACCAGAAGACAACAAGCAACAAGTTATCTTTCTATATATTCTTTGTTGTTTAGTTATAGGGATCAATTTTTCACTGCCGACTTTTTAAAAAATGCCGTATCTCCCTACGGCAAAATTGTTACCTTTTGGCAACATTCGGCCGTAGAGGGTTAAAATTAATCAAAATAGTTTTACGTACTTTTACGCATTAACTTATTAGTTTCTTAATTATAATTAACTAAATACACACCGTACACTAGCAACATCAACTATCAATACCTGGCTACGCCCACAGTCACAAGCTTAGGTGCCTTAGCCCACTCTCCCCGACACCCCTCGCCGGTACAGATCGGATCCATTTTCTTTGCTTTTCGCTTTTTATTCAATTATAAATCTCGGGACAAGAACACAAATGTTGGAAAAAACACCGTTCATGATTTTGATAAAGAACCTTAGTGTTTCTCACAGAGACATACATGATTGGTCTCTTCACTCCTTTCGCCAACTCTGAAACAAATATCCCCCACTAGATCATCTGTTCTATCGTCATATGCTAAAGGAATTTTCCTGAAAACTCTTCTCTTCAACTCTTTTCTTCACATCAAATCAACCGTTGCCATTCCTGTACCTAATTCGACATCACCTGCCAAAGACACGGCTAGTACTACACTTTTCTTTACCTGTTTTGTTCACTTAAAAGTGAGTATTGCGACTCGACCGCATCGTCCAGCATCACACGGTAAAGGGATATTCAACAACATACCACTCTTCACCTCTTTTCCTCGCTTCAAAGTAAACCTAGCAACTCACTCACGCATGCAACATTACGTCCCAAAGAAACATACTATATGACAATTCTCATCATCTCATTCCCTCCTTTCAAAGCAAACATTGCGACCCGCTCACATTTTTCAACAACACTTGCCAAACGAACATTCACTACTATACTTATCTTCACAACTTTTGCTCACGTTGAAGCAAATGCTGAAACTCAGTGACTTCACCTTACATCGCATGCCAAAGGAATATTCATTATGACATATCCCTTCAACTCTTTTGCGAACTTCGACGGAAACGTTGCGAGTCGCTAACCTCTTCCACTATCACATCGGAAAAAAACATTTCTCAAAACACCATACCTCACATATTTTCCTCAATTCTTGGGAAAGTTTGAGACTCCATCATCTCATCCACCATCACATGGTAAAGGAACATTCAATACCACACTTCTATTCAGCTCCTTTTGCTCACTTCGAAACAAATGATGTAATTCGCTCACGTCAATCAATATCAAATGGGAAAAGAACATTGACTATCATACTTCTATTCAGCTCCTTCTGCTCACTTCGAAACAAATGTTGCTGCTCGGTCATGTCAATCAATATCATATGGCAAAAGATCATTCTAAAGCACATTTATCTTCATCTCTTTTGCTCACTTCCAGGCAAATCTTGCCACTAGCTCATCTCATCAACCACCAGATGCTAAACGGACATTCTGACAAGCGTATATACACTTCTGTTCAACTCTTTTCCTTTCTTCAAAGCAAACGTGACGACTCGGTCACTTCATCCAACACCGCATGCCAAAGGAACATTCCTGACGACAGTTTTCTTCATCTCCTTTGGTCATTTCCTAGCAAACGTTGCGACTCGATCATCCAGTGCAACAACGCATGCCAAAAGAACATTCCTCACTACACTTCTCTTCACCAGCTATCCACGCTTGAAACCAAACGTTGTCACTCGATCACCTCATGCTGCATCACATGCCAGAGGAACATTCAACAGCATACTTCTCTTCGCCTCTTTTCCTCACTTCGAAGCAAACGTTGCCACTCACTCACCTCAACCACCATCAC